TTTTAAAGAGAGATAAATGAGGGTTTTTCTGTTTTTAATAAACTTGTTCCTGAGAGTTCTCATTTTGACTCAGTAAATATTTACTGAGCACCTAATATATTCCAGATACTCTTCTGGACACTCAGGAGATGTCAGTGAATGAAACAGACAAAAATTCCTTTCTTTCATAGAGCTTACCTTCTAGGATGGGAAGGGAGGAGATAATGATATTACTCAGTATACTAGAAGTCCATGGAAAAAAAAAATGAAGCAGAGCGGGTGGTGGGGATGGAGAATACAACGGAAAAAGTAGGACATGAGCAAAGACTTGAAGTACATGAGATGAGCCATTGAGGTGTCTGAGGGAAGAGTATCAGGCAGAGAGAGGAGCAAACACAGAGGGCAGAAGTGTGCCTGGAGTGGTTCGGGAGGGAACAGCTCGAATCATAGGAATTTTTAAGACACTTGTCTAAGGTGTGGCATGCAATGCATTTCATGCAGTAGAGCCTTATAAATGTAAGCTGAATAAATGAGTAAGGGCCAGCAGCAGTTATTTGTTGGAAGACACCCTATGCTTCCTCTTTGCTGTGCCTCTTTCACATCTTTGGTGCTGAAGTGCTAGGGTGGTAACCTGAGGCTGCGGGGAAAACACTGGGGGCTAGGGCTGCCTTTGCACTGAACATAAGCCCCACTTCCTTATAAAGCCTTGGCACTTATTTTGTGTGCCTCTTTCACATCTTTGGTGCTGAAGTGCTAGGGTGGTAACCTGAGGCTGCGGGGAAAGCACTGGGGGCTAGGGCTGCCTTTGCACTGAACATAAGCCCCACTTCCTTATAAAGCCTTGGCACTTATTTTGGGGGAAGTTCTTTGCCATCTTTGTAAACTTCCTATTCTTTTTCTCCAGCCATACTAGCTTTCTTTTTATTTCTTGAACCACCAAATGTCCTTTTTGCTAGGTGTCTTGATACTGCTTCCTTCACTGAGTAGGGGCTCCCCAATTGTCACACAGCTGGCTGCTTCATGTCATTTAGGTCTCATCCCCTTTGTCACCCACAGAGGGAGGTCTTTCCTGTCCTCGCGATCTAGGTTGGACCCCACTGCCCCAGTTACTCTACCTCATCTTCCTGGCATTAGTTTCTTAGGACTTGTATGTGTGTGAAATTGTGATGTTTATTTTGTCTTTCCTTGTCAGTCCTTCACTAAAATGTAAAATAATTAAACCAAAATTTTGTCATGTTCACTGCTGTGGATCAGCAGAGCTCAACTGTAGTGCAATGGAATTAAGTCCTCAGAAAATGCAATTCGTTGCAGAGTGGACAAATTATATAAATATAAAAAGTAACATTTATTATTTACTGTCTGCTGTAAACTGTGCTAACATACTGTTCTACAGATTTCCTATTTAAAGCATCTTGCCAACACCGTTGTCTCTGTTTTACGGGAACAGTTACCCAAGTAATTTACCCAGAATTACACAGCCAATTAGTCAGACCGTTCTCTGACTTTACAGTCTTGTAACCATTGTACAACACAGCCATTAAGACAGCACTGCAGCAGCCCCAGTTCCTCTGCAGTTCAGCACATTAGAAGAGTGGGGTTTTATTCCCTTTATTGGGCAGTGATCAGACTCCTTTATTTGGATTGTGGGTGAGAGAGGGCAAGGGAATGATGTTTAGCAGATATCAAAGACTGGTGTCTCAGGCTGAACTTAACCCACAGTCATCTTTGGTTGGTTTGGCACAGTGTTTAAAAACAGGAAGACTCACCTAAAAATCTAGATTTGATGCTTCTCTTGAGTAGCAGCTGCCCCCTGCAGTGGGTCTGTGTGCTCCTGCTCACTTCAGTTGCCCTCTGTCCTTGTCTTACTCCCAGCTGCCTGGCACAAAAGGCATTTCACGTCGTTCAGAGGATTATGAGGACAAGACGTAGCATCATGTTTGAGTAACTGATGCACATACAGTTGCAGAAATAGAGTTATATAACCAGAACCAAGAAAAATGCAGAGCTAGCTCTCTTTACTATTGCAGGATGCGTGCACTCCTACAAGAGACCAGGAGTCACTACACAGCTTTCCTCATAGACAGGAGAAGTGCCAGAGTTCTCTTGTTTAGAGGCAGCCCAAACTATCCCATTCATCGCATTGAATCAACATTGTTTTTTTCTCCCACCATTGACATTCTGATCTGCTTGTAGAGAGTCCCCAGGATCCAGAGTCAAATAGATCCTACTTTCTGGGATGTGAATTGGAATCGTCAAGGCAGCCACAGACTCAGGCTAAAATGACTGTGGATCTAGTATATGAAATCACGATGCCTTTCTTACCATTCTGATAACTGGACTCTGATACGCCTGAATTTGCCTAGCATCTTGTTGATTTACTACTGTGACTGGTATTACAGCAAACAGAGACTTCCCAATTTTTGCTTATCTGCCCCTAGAACTGTTATTTGGGAACAAATATGATGCTAGTTTTTCAGAGGTAAACTAAAAAGTACGTATACATTTAACACACTTAAAACAGTTATTTTTCTTATATGGTGGGCATTTAGTTTTGGTTACCTACAGGCACATAGTGTTATGTGTCAGTATATTTAAAAATATTGTATAAAGAAGTATTATTCAAATTTTCTGAGTAGGAAATAATATTCAGAAAATAATTATTCAAATGGACTCAATATTGGTAAGCATTTCTTTATCCTCTGCCTTGACTCCAACTTGACTCTTTAAAATTCAAAATAGCTTTTAATTTTTAATTTTGGATAAAAATTCTATTTGAATAAAAACAGGTTTTTATTCTTGTTATTATTTCTATCATGTTCTTTCTGTCTGATGACTAATTTTTCTATAGTAGAGTCTTCTAGGTCTAGAAATTGAGGACAAAATTTTTGTTACTTTATTCTGATTTACCACAAATGCTCCAAAAAGACATGCCATCAGCTTCTAGGTCTCTAGTTAGTTCATCTTCTTTCCTTAACCAACATTTTCTAAAATAAACTTCTAAACACACACACACACACACACACACACACACAGAATGAATATTTTTTAAATGCCTGATTTTTTGCCAAGAGAAGCAGTTAAAATCTGTGATGTATAGACTCCTAAAAATTGATCACTCTTTGTACAGGCTTTATTGTTTAGTGAGGTCTTACATGATGGGCAAAGATGGACTTAATTGCAATTTAAAGTGCTGTGTTACCTCAATTCTGTTTTATTATTAGATTGATAGGTTAATGTCTATAAAGTGCTTTGAGTTTTTATACAGGACTAGAGAGATTTATGCAATTATGTGCAAAATTTATGTGCAATTATGTGTATACCTTGAAGAAAGAATAAATGTCTTAAATATTTTATAGCACATGTACTCTCATGAAATATATTATTGACAGCAGGCTAAAGGTGAGGAGGATGGCATCTTATTAATCTTTGTATCTTTTGTCCCTCGTCTCCCCCGCCCACTGCCCATCATGCCTGGTACTTTATGAAAGCTCAGTAAAAGTAAGAACTGTATCTTTTGTCCCTCGTCTCCCCCGCCCACTGCCCATCATGCCTGGTACTTTATGAAAGCTCAGTAAAAGTAAGAACTGAAGAGAATGTCTTGTGTTATTGTTATCAACCCTATCATTTGTAATAGATTTCCCAAGCCTTTACTGTCTCGTCTGGCTTTAAATCTCCTCCATCTTTTGTCCCTCGTCTCCCCCGCCCACTGCCCATCATGCCTGGTACTTTATGAAAGCTCAATAAAAGTAAGAACTGAAGAGAATGTCTTGTGTTATTATTATCAACCCTATCATTTGTAATAGATTTCCCAAGCCTTTACTGTCTCGTCTGGCTTTAAATCTCCTCCGAATATGCCTTCTCTCATTTAAATAGTATTTAATTTTTTACTTGTGTAATTGTTTGATTGCTAAATCTTACGGTCAACAAGTTGAACATTCAGCTAATACCCTTTGCAAATAAAGTGACATCATTCTTGATAGCGAGGGGATATACAGTCAGTGCAGTATTTCAGGAGATTCTGACAACTGGTGGTCAAAGAACATTAATCAAGTAACTGAGATGTTGTAAAATTGGTAAAAATTACACAGAAACCAGGAATAAAAAGGTTTGAGATGGTCTGTGGCCAGCCTTTTAACCTTTTGAGGAGTTTTAGCATTCCTGCATTTGTGAATTTAATGGCTCTTCAGTTTCGCGTGCTTAAGACCCTTTTTATTACAGGTAATTTTCTGCATAAAGCAATCAGCTAGGCAAGCTGTATTTCAAAACTTTTAAATGTCTTTTATTACATTATCATCACTGTGGTCGATTCATTTATAATACACAAAGCACTCCCATTTGGAGAGATTTATTCTCATATCAGTTTTTTTCCTGGGTTTGCCAGAACCCCGTCATGTTCGTGTTCTGAAGGTTAATGCCCAAAGTCAAGCAGACAGAAGCCAAGTGCTGCAAGGTTTCCAAGATTAGGACTGATTCCCTTCACAGAAATAAATGATTCCTGCCATGTTCAGTGATTTTGTGCAGTGCTCCCCACGGCTGAGCGAGTGCATCAATACTGTAGTCCTTACATGCTGTACATACTGATGACACTCAGTGTTAACTTGATTGACTGAGTGGTGCACCGGAGAAGACGCACCTGCGAGAGAAGTGCAGACACATATATTTTTATCCTGGTTTCGAAACATTTATTTTACATTTATTTTACTTGGGAGTTATAGTTTCACATTCCATGAGCTCTCAAGCCACACTGCTAAGGTAGAACAAACCTTTAAATGCTGCTTTGTTGTCAGAATTATACCAAAAATGGTCTCAGGTTTATACCCTTTGCCAAAGCCTGATTTTATGCTTTTGGGGGAAAATGACATGAAGGTGACTATCAAGAATCCTGACAGATTAGGAGCTCTGTAGAATTTAAGTCTCTTAAGAGGTTCTATCTAACGATGGGCAAATGGATCATTTAATTCAATTATGAAATATTATTTTGGCTATATTTTTATGTTATATTTTATTATCATGTTTTGTAGGCTTTGAGGCAGCAGCAAAAAAGAAGAAATGGAGTCTCAATGATGGTAAACAAGACTGTTCCTCGTGTTGTTTTGACACCATTAAAGGTGTCTGATGAGCAGTCGGATTCGCCTTCAGGTAAAGAGCTAAAATATTGTATGCCTGGCCAGTTTCCTCCCGAAGGAGACTTCCTCACTGACAGAGATGTCATAATTTTTTTTCAGAAACTGAGTAATATTTCCACTTGAGGTTTGGTTTAATTTTTTTTATACCTTTCACTCTTTCAGTCATTCAGAAATGTGGAGTGTTTCCCAGTTTAAAAAAAGGCGGGGGGAGCACCAGTGTTTTCATCCTCATCTAATGACTTTATTTGCACTGAGTAATATTTCCACTTGAGGTTTGGTTTAATTTTTTTTATACCTTTCACTCTTTCAGTGATTCAGAAATGTGGAGTGTTTCCCAGTTTAAAAAAAAGGGGGGGGGAGCACCAGTGTTTTCATCCTCATCTAATGACTTCATTTGTTAATGTCACTAAATGTAAGAAAATGCATGGTGACGCTAGGCAGATTTTTTTGTTGCTGTTGCTTTGGCTTTTGTTTGAATGTTGAACTTTAATGCTGGACCACATGCTGATGTGTAATGCCATCAAAAGCAGTTCTTCCGTGAGTGTGAATTTGTTTTTCAGTCCTCTGCTGCAAAATCAGGAATCGTTTATTAGTTTCTGTGTCTGGCAACATTCTTCTCACCTCCATGCAGCCCCGACCTTTTCTTCTAATTTACCTTCTGTCATGTTATCAACTATGTACCGTTCTAGTTATTATAGATGAACGTTTGCATTTTCAGTTTCTACTTCAACATAAAGTTATTTATAAAGGTATGATCTCTCCCTGTCTTCAAGACTCACTGCTTCATCTTTGTGTCTCTGTTTTGTATCATCTCTAAATGGCATAGCGTTGTTCAAGTTTATTTGTGTATTTTTACAAAAGATCTGACTCTATTTCTTTTAAAAGCTATCAGATTAGTGAATGTGTTTTTGACTCCACTGTTAGGCCATCTGTTCTTGCTTTTTGTTCTGTTTGATTGATTTATTGGCCTTTTCTCTTTATATCCAGTAGGGGAATCAGATTGTGGCCAAAGGTAGTATATTATTACTCTTGGAAAAAAAGATTACATCTATGGTTTTTAAAACAATTTTAGATTTTTCTTTTCAAGGACAGCAAGAGGAAGATAACGACATAATAACTATTTCTTTTTTAGGATCTGAATCTAAAAATGGTGAAGCAGACAGTTCAGATAAAGAAATGAAACATGGGCAAAAATCTCCTACTGGAAAACAAACAAGTCAGCACTTAAAACGATTAAAAAAGTCTGGTTTAGGTGAGTGTTCAATAGACTGTGACTTTTCACATTTTAAAGGTTTATGTCTTTTCAAATAAATTACGGAAAATTCTCAGAACTTATTTTTTATTGGTTAAACAAGGGAATTATAATATCCTTCCATTTATCTAAACCTAAAAGGGTACTAGGTAAGGAAACATTGCAGTTACAATTCAGTGATCTTAAGCTTATTACTAGATTTTTGAATGATATTATTGGATGAAGCATAGGATAAAGGTAAGAGAGTTAAAATGATATATGTATTCAAATAATTATCTGCCCAGTCATGATTCTATCTAATGTGCAGAGTTTTGTCTATGCAATCTAGGTTTCGCTGTATTGGAATATACTGTATTGGGGAAAAAATGGAAGTTTTATAAAGGCTTCAATGAACTGGAGTGTACACTGGGGTCTGCTGCAGTGAAACTGTTCTGCCTTGCTTTTTGTCTCTGCTGCTTGAAATATTTAGTACTGCCTGTCTGAAAAATAGTGTGAAATTGCTGAGAAGTGTGGGAGACACAGTCCATGGGTCTTACAAGGCCAGCATCAGGTTTTCATCTTCTAAATATTTCCTTCCTGATAACTTTTTGTCAGAAACCCAACAGCAGCATTCAGGGAAAGAGGAGTATGAGAATTAAAAAAATAAAAATAAGCATATTCTAGGCTGAACATTATAATTCTCGACCACCCCTGCCTTGTTAAATGACCTGGACCTAAGGGCTTCATTTCTCTTAGTTATTTCACCTGTAAATAGGGGTAATGATAATAACCTGAATCATTATTTTGTGAAATGGTTGGTAGAGAGTACGTATTTATTGATTTGAACTTTATTACTGGTTCTGGCTCTTACTTTCTTGGCAACTTAGGATAGTTCTTATTTGCAGAGTTTATCTGTTTGTAAAATTTAAGCACAGTTTAAGCTGATTAATTTATTTTTAGTCAAGTTTTATTGATTGTGTACTGTATACTAGGCATTTTCTTAAATCCTGAGAACATACTTTCAGTGAAAAGCCTTTGAATAGGATTTATATGTCCTTAGATAAGAGAGACTACTGGGAAAGCAGAATTTATTTTTGATTTAAATTATTTAAATATAGCATGGTTATCTATTTTACGTTATTTCCAATGCTAAATAATTTTATAGTTATTGTCTAGCCCATAATATATCTATATGTGTTTGTGTATAACCACACTTACATGTTCACTGACATGTTTTCTTCCTAGTTCTCTGGGTGTTGAAAAGTAAGTAATATAAGTAGCTTTTGAAATAGAAAACTGCAGTGGGAGAGTAATATGTGAAGAATGTACTAAAAAAAAAATATATTCAGAACACTACCATGTTACCATACACTAAACGATTTAAAGGTCAGTGACCTTTAGTTAAAAACAGTCTGCCACCAACCTCAGTAAAGTCGATGTAATGAATGTAAAAAAATTCAAGGCACAGAGGCCTCTGAGTTTATTTACTTAGCTATGTTCCAAACTGGAAGCCAACTAGACAGTGGACTGTGTTTATAGTGTTACCAGGATCCTCTCAGGGTCTCAGGTCATCATTCAGGATCTAATTGTTACCTTGAAGGCTATACTCAAGCAGACAGAGAATCAGAATTTTTTTCTTTTTTATACATTGAGAGTCAACTGGAAGGTATAAAGGATGAGTCTGCTCTTAGGAAATCCTGCATGCCACTAAACATCTTACATGTTAAAAATGGTGCTGCTGTAGTACTTTGGTTGATTTCATACCAAATAAAATAATAAAGGAGACCACCATGATCTTTTTAACCTGCTTTGTTTTAGACTATAAAGTAGTAGAAATAATGAAACTAATGGAGAATGGACAAGTGAAATCATATTCACTATCTATAGAATGGTCAAGGTATTTTGACGTAAGTTATCTCATTTAATTCTTACTTCACTTCTGTACAATGGAATGATTTCCATTTTACAGCTGAAGAGACAGGCCCAGAAGAAAGTTGTCCATAAATGACACAACTAAGATACAAGCCAAGGCATTTCAAACTCCAAAGTCAAAACCATTCATCTTGGATACAACCTAAATGTCAAATCAGCTGGCCTATATTTTATACCTGTAGGTACCACTGAGGAGAAATAGCAGTATATGAAAAGATGAGTCTACCATAGAGGTGAAAGTGCAGGTGTAATAGTTACTTGTGGAGGAGAGCTAGCAACTGTAAGATTTCCTGGCTGATCCTGTATCAGACAGAACGAAGAAGAAGGTAGGATTTGAAATAAGTCAACTAAGGTAAAAATCTGTCAAAAATAAACTGTAGGTGATTACTGGGAAGAAACGAGCAACTGTAAGATTTCCTGGCTGATCCTGTATCAGACAGAACGAAGAAGAAGGTAGGATTTAAAATAAGTCAACTAAGGTAAAAATCTGTCAAAAATAAACTGTAGGTGATTACTGGGAAGAAACTGTGACTGACTAACCTAGCAGGCTACTGAGTGGAATGGCTTATTCTGTGTGAATGAAGTCAGTGGTCCTTATAAAGCTTCCATATATGCCCAGGAGTATAAAATGAAAAATGAAAAAATGTAAAATGAAAGAGTCTTAAACGTAACCATCTCCAGACAATAACCCCTGTCTTTTTTAGGCAGTGATGTTCCGTTACAATCAGGATGATATTTATTACTCTGTAAGATGTATTTATGTATATTCTGCTCTCTCTCTTTGCCATTAAGTTGTTAACTTTTTGCAAACATTGACCTTCCTGTCCATCTTTGTGGTCCTTAACCCATTAAATCCCTCTTGTTTAGCAGGTGCTGAAGTTTTGAGTGAGTGAATGATTATAGTTAACTGAATGGGCTAGGTAGTAAGTTTGTCTGGATGAATGATGCTGTAGGTTTCAGCATAGCAGTGAAGCTGCTTATATCTCCTTGAATGAAAATGATCCTTTGTTTCCAGGGCAGGTCATTCTTTGTGGAGTTGCAGAACCAGTGCAAAGGAATGATCCCACCCCGCACCCCTTAGCCAGATAGAGAGAGCCTGTTCTTCCTCATCTATATTTACCACCTGAATTAGACAGTAATTCATACAGTTTCAGAAATGTGATTTTAACCTTCTTCGCTTTTTCTAGGTAGGGGTAGCTATATGTAAGTCGTAACTTGTTGAAACCATTCTGAATAAAAACAAATACCAGAAGTTTGTTCTAATTTAAATTGGTAATTCTGAAACGAAATCCAGTCAAAAGCAGATTTCAGGGTTTAAGTCTAATTTTTCATTCTCATTTAACAGGATAAAAAATACTTCTGGGCCGGCCCGGTGGCGCACTGCTACAGTGTGCCGCTTGAGAGTGCGGTGGCGCTCCCGCCAAGGGTTCGGATCCCACATACAGACCGGTTGCCGCTCACTGGCTGAGCGAGGTGCGGGAGCAACACCGAGGGTTGCGATCCCGTTGCCGGTCCCGGTCCGGTACGGGCGCGACACTGAGGGTTGCGATCCGTTGCCGGTCACGAAAAAAGACAAAAAGGAAAAAAAAATACTTCTAATTATCCCCTAAGTACTTCCTCTTAATGTCTGGCAGTTACTTAATTTGTCAAATTGCAGGATATCCACCCTGTTCAAGGTATGGGTTTCACTTGGGTCTTGGAATCTAATGAGATGTAGGCTGAGAGACAGTGGACCCACTGTGTTGCCCTGAGTGCCCTGAAGAACACACCATAGACCTACTCAGAAGAGAGAGCAGGAGACTTCATAGGCCCAACTTCAATGGAGAGCGTTAGGAGTACACACTAAAAAAAAAAAAATGATACTAAGTCTTGAGCTTCAATTCAATATTTAATAGATTCGGTTGCTCTAGTTCTGATGGTAATCTAGAAGTCTGTATGAGAAACATATCACTCAGCATGGGAACCCACTACTGCTGATGTAGATTTTTTGCTTTTTTTTTTTGTCGTTGTTGTTCATTTGCTCTTATGTGTTATGTATGAAAAGGATTATGTATGAAAACTATGAGAATATTTATCTGAGTAGCCCTCTGATTGAATAGACGTGGTAACATGGGGTGAGTGCCTGCCTTTGGGGGGTAAATATCATGGTTCTAAATAGTATTTCTCTGATAATGGTGTAGTATAACAAAAGCAAAACCTAGATGGTCCCTCTTCTATTTCTAAAGCAACCATAGTATAAAACACTTCTAATATATATAAAAAGAAATGTTAACAATGTCTACAAAGGCTCTTTTATTACTATAGGCCTTAAAATTATTAAAACTTTGGTAGAAAAATGTTAAACTACTAAATAACTAGGCAGTAGATACTTTATCTGGTGAGATGGAGGGTAGGTGCCAGCTGTAAATGGGGTTTGAAGTGTATTTTTTTCTTGCCTAATCAGTTGTTTTAATAATTTCCCTCCTTGTTTTAGTCAAGGATAAAACTCATTTTAAACCTCTCCCGTGGAGTTTCCTGAGGCAACCCTAGCACATTATCATCTCACTGTCTTCATAGCACTTAAAGCATGGGTTTGTGAATACTTTAAAAAATTCTTTAATGATATACTTTCTTTCTACTTGTTTTACATTTCTTATTTTCTCACATTTTTCTCTAACTAAAGTGTATGTTCCTTGAATTCAGGGTCATTGACCTAAACCAGTTTTTAAATACACTCCTTCCTATCCAATCACACAGTAGGAGTTTAAAAAGTGCTTACTTAAGCAAACCTTAGCTTCTACTGAATGTCTCTGAAGGGATTTTCATAAATGTCCTTGTTGAGCACAACTTCTGGGATTCCGTCCAATATATCTTATTTGGTTTAATCTTTTCAGTAAAGAATTACAGCTTTTCTGGTTTTACAAAATGTTACATACTCTAAATGAAAGCAGAAAAATTAAAGTTTGAATAATAACCCTACATCCTTGCATCTAAAATAATTATGCCGTGTTTTGTAAACATTATTTGACATCTCTTACTGGGTAGCTATAGCCAGAGATAGTCTTAGAAAATATGTATTATACCATTTAGTTAAAAGTGTAGTTAATTTT